ACAGCCGGTTGTGCTGGAAAATAAGAACTCTCCCCGCCTTGGGGTCTACGTCCACCTTTCTCCTCTCATCATTTGACAGAAACGACGTGGCGCCGCCCACTAGGTCCGCCTTCTCCTTTCCCACCTCGGCGACAGAGTCGTTGAGATACAAATGGACGGTGTAATGTGTCCTATACACCGTCCCGTCTTCCATCTCCTCGCTGTAAGGACCGTCGCAGTGAGCTGGCTCCGTGTTAGTCACAATCAGACCCGTCATCGTGGAAGAGCAATCAAAACTTACGTCTGAAAAACTGGCCCTTGCCATACTTCAAAAACCTCATCCGCTTATTGAACCGGTCAAACACCCAATCCGTCTCGAACCCCCTATCCGGCCGCGCAACCCCCTCAAACGCCGCCAGCTCCTCCCTGAGCCCCTCCGCCAGCGCGCACCGCGCCCACAGCCGGTCGACGACCTCCTGCTCGTCCCAGATGATGCGGTCGCTGTTGCGGTACTCGGGCTCCAGGATCTCCCAGCCCTGCGCCATGCTGACCAGCGCGGGCTGCCACGGCTTGTCCGCCGTGACGGCGCTGGCCTCGGCGAGCGCGAGCAGCTGCGCGCACTCGGCGCGCGTCAGCACGTTGTCGAGCACGACGGCGTAGCGGCCCTCGTTCTCGGGGAGCGGCGTCTTGGACCAGTCGATGCGGGTGAGCGTCACGGGCGGGGCGTCCGGCGGCGGGGCGGCGAGGAAGTCTGCGGGGACCGGCACGGGGTTGGAGGTGTAGAAGGTCCGGACGGGCTGGGGGCCGCGTTTCGGGGGCGGGGACCGCTTTTTGCGGCTGCCTGGGAGGAGGGAGCTGAGAGACATGGTGGCGGGTTGTGTGCTCAGAGGGCACACGGTTTGCTTTGGGGTGTTTTTGTGTCTGGGGAATGAGATAGGTGTCAATGTAGGTAGTATTGAGATCGGTGTTGGGTTGAAAGAGCGGCAATCTGGGCGCCGCGGCGGTGGGTATTTACACGCGGTGAGGAATCTCACTGCCTGGAGTTGGTGTCTGGGCGTAGCGGGAGCCTGGCCGTGGCGGTGTCGGATTGGCCTCAGCCGGAGCGGGTTGAACGGCATGCTAGGTTGTCCTTGTGTGGAAATGTCGCCGAGCTAGAGAGGAATCTTGAGCCTTGTATTTGAGCGTCATGTTGGAATTTCTGTAGGTTAAGTCTTTGATTTTGCAACGGGTCAAATGACGGGAAGATTCAACAACCTTGATGAGATGAAGAAGAATAATTGCAGCCTAAGGTAGTTGCGGGTGAGAACGGTGCCGAAGGGAGTTTCCCGTGTTCCGACAGGCTCTCAGGCTCCGAAGACGCTAAAGGTTCCGCTAAGCTTTTGCTGCGGCCAGGCGGTGGCTGCCTGGAGCCATGGTCCGCCTCGGGAGTTGCCTGTCAGATCTGGTATGACTATTACCTTCGTGGATCCGACCTAATATCACATGTTGGCTATTGCCGTCTCATTCAAGTCACGTATGAATGCGATCGTGGGAATCAGAATACGTATCATGATAAACTGACTTAGTTATCTAGTAGCACTTGTCTAGGTGGCCGGCCACACATGAAATCGCCCTACTATGCCAATGCTCCAGCGCACACCCTAAGGCAATCAATCAAGTTTGAGGCGCTGCAATGCTCAAAAGACAAGAGGGATTATTTAACAGCGTTCACATCCTCTAGATTTGAGTCTATACGTATTGCTGGTTACGCATGCGCCGTGTTCATTCATTGACCTTAGTAATTCGTTCTGCTATGTGTCTATGTGAGACGATGTATAATGAGTACATGTAGTTATAACTAAGCTGCAATTTATAACTGTAAACCTAGCAGCATCATTACGTTTCTTCGACTGCCCGGTCTGGCATAGATATAGTGTTAGGTGAGGAAATATGCTCTTGACGTAGCGTAATGGTTCGCTTGTTTCGCAAGCATATATCCTAGGCTTGGTATTAATCCCAGCCAACGTAGTCAAACGCAACTTGATGATCTCGCCATCATCACCAGACAAAAAGGCATATTTCATCAGCTCAATGGACTATCACGATCTCATTTTTCAGGAGTAAAAGGATGTTTCATCACTTTAGGTTGGTAAGACAATACTGTTGCTCGATGTCCATCATCCACATGGTGCCTTCCAAACAGATGTAATAGGTAAACCAGCACCTCACGAATACCCACTAACACCACACGTCCAACAATCAATATCCCAAGCCCAAAGGCCACTTCCAGGTGCTGAAGTAAAAGCTTGGTCAAAAGTAAAGTTGTAAAACAAACAAGTCCCCGTGCTAGGATCCCACGAGAACGACCGGCACCGCGGCGGTTTGCGCGCATCGGTGCATAGCTCATGACACCCAGCCGGGCCGTCCTCGGGTCCATCTCCGCTCTCGAACCTCCCCCAGCTCTTGAAATCTCCCTCGCCCGTGAACTTGGCCTCAACCTCGCACTTGGCGGTGGGCGACAGACAGGTCTCAACGGCTGTCGTCGCGGACGTCGTCCGCGTGGGGACCTCGTCGATGGGGCCGAGCTCGCCGCACTCCCAGCACTCCTTGTCCCAGATCCAGTAGCCGCTGTCTGCCTTGGGCCGGGCGACCTGGGAGGCGGGCTCGTTGTGGATCAAGCACCTGCCGTTGGCGAAGAAGGAGAAGGCTTTGCACTCGCCCCAGGTGCGCTTCGCGTTGCAGAACTCGAGGCACTGTTCCGGGCTTGCGAGGCCGTATTTGTTGCCGAAGGCGCCGCCGCTCCATTGGACTTGGACGCCGCACATTGCGCCAGGGGAGAGGCACGGGGGAGACGTCGTGGCTGGGGGTGCGGTGGTGGAGGCGTTGGCACTGGCTAGAGCCAGGCTGGTCATTAGGGCGATGCGATTCATTGCGACCATTTTAGACATTGATTGTGTACTGCGTACTCAGCAACTAAGAAACGAAGTGAGGAGTTTGAGTGTAGTCACTTAAATACTTGATCTGGTCATTAAAGGAATTGTTCAGCTGGAACTGTCTTTCCTGCATTTGTAAATCGCAGGCCATGGTGGCGGAGATGCGTGCAGTAGCGTGGTCGGTTAGCCAGTGAAGACTATGCGAGTAAGATCAATACATGCGAGTTGCTTCGTATTATTTCTCGGCATGCTGTAGTGTTAGGCGAAGGATTTGCAACAAAGTTCCTCAATTCGCCCGACTAGTTGGCCCATGAGCACTCAATGATCGCTCGTATGATTGTGTTCACAACATAATGCGGGTTCTGAAATCCTTTGGAGTAAAAATGATGCCATAATCGTAAGTCTGTATGAGACTGTCGAATCAACTCTGAGGGAGCGTAATGTGAGTAGTTCTCAATAACATGAGTGAGAATTATGCGAAGGTGACATAAATCAAATTAGTAATTGGAAGGTGACATAAGAGAAGAACATTATAGCAAGTTACTCAAGGACATGACGGGCTTGTGTGCATGATTCATTGTTAGTGATGTGTACATCAAACTGTAAAAGAAATATAGTATGCAATCTGTACGCCACCTGGGCAGGCTGTCTTGAACACCGATGTCAAAGGTCCTCATCCTCGATCTCGTACTCCGAGTAATCAGCATCGTCATCTTCCTCCTCTTCATCAGACCCATCAGAGTCACCAGAGTCCTGAGCAGGGTAATGTTCAGGGGGCAAAATCTCTCGCCTTTTGAGATCCTCCTCACTCATCGGGCCCGGAACATATAGCCAGGTGTCTGTCACGACAACATATTCCATCGTATCCCCATCTCCGTGATGATACCACTTCGTACCTCCAAGAGCACTCTTTCCATGCCATCTCCACTCATCCAGCTTCGTACCCTCAGCGCTCAAATGGCCGCCCTCCTCCGAGTCCCCAACACTCAGCTTCCACTTCTTGTTCCTCTCCACGATCTTCATCATCGCATCCCTTTTCCGAGTGATGGTCTCGTACTCCACCTTGAGCTCTCTAAGCCCAGGAGGCCCGCTGAACCGCCGCAGCCAATCTTCCTTCATCCGCAGAGGAGTATCGCTCTCCCAGTACCACCAGTCCGAGTAGCGAATTGTGATTGTGAGCTTCTCTGGGTTAAAGTTTGGCTGGTGGAAGAGGCGATGCAGCTCAGTCCCATTTTCAAATCTGAACATTTGCATGAAGAAGCGGACTTTCTTTAGGTCCTGAGATTGTTGTGGCGTGAGCTTGCGGAAGAAGGATAGGCATGAATTCATGCCTGTCCGGCCCTCTGGACCGCGGTCTAGACGTAGATATCTTGTTAGTGGCATGGAAACGTACATGAAATGAGACCGATCTATCGAGACTTACCAAACCAGAAGGCCCATTCAAGCTCTCTCAAGAAGGCCTTTTGACCTTCAAAGTAGGCGGCTTTGCATGTTTGCAGGAGGGCGCTACTGCTCTTTCGCGGACCCGAAAATCCCGGACGATACCAGTAAGAGTCTTCTGGATAGGCGTTCTCACTGTCTTCGTATTGAACGAGCGCGAGCGCGAAGATCTCATTGCGAATCTCACCCGGCAGAGTGCTGAAGAGTGGGCACTGCAGCTGGGGATTGCATGCTGTCGCTTGTACGTCGGTCGTTGCTGCGCTGTCCATGATTCGAACGATGACGCAGTTGCAAATAGATGCGCATTCGCGTTAAAGACATAAAGAGCGAAGTTTCGATGCGGACTGAAATAGTCTGACGTTGTGACACAAAGGCGGGGTTGGGTGCCTTTGCTGCCTGCTGCTGCCTGCTAACTAGGCGGAGTGACTGGAGATGTGGCGTCCATCCGCTCGCCCAACATCTTGCGGCCCAAGATTGGCCCGCTCTGGAGGAATTGGACGACTGTCACATGACACTGGTTTGCCTTCATTGGTCTATTGAATCCCTCAAGTGTGCAGAACCGATTTTGATCAAGTTTTGAAGTTTAACTACCAAATCAAAGCTTAGCAAATAAACGAGTGGCGAGAATGATTTCCCCCAGAAGCACCAGACGGCATTTTCTTCGTTTCCTTAAGGCTCTTCCACCTTGGGAAATGGTTCCAACAAACGGTCATCATCCTCATCGGTACCATCCGATGCTGGAAGTGTCTGTCAGCAGATTTGAGAGAGAACGATTTTACCAGGTGTGACTTACCAAGCTGGTCAATCCAAAACGATGCAATGCTTACACCGAATTCACACCCGTTCACTTTCAAAGAGCGGGAAATCTTCCCTTCAGACAACACCTCGTCATCCAGAAGCAAGCATGATCGCTTCTTCCACGCTTCAGAAGTACCCGCTGGTTGGACGAGTACCAGGCGTTTGTGGGGCACTGTTGGAAACGTACGGTTCCTGAAGCCACGAGCATCGCGCACAAAGTCGCGATAGCCGTGCGGATTGTCCTTGAATTCGAAGGTCAAGCAAAACAATTTGCCGTCCTTAAGCAAATCGCCTTTAGTGTCAGGAAGTAGGGGGGGTAGGGTTTTCTTGGTCCCCGGCGCAATTCGAATTCTCCAGACTGGCTCGTGCCCTGAGGTTGATATGCACGGCGTAAAGAAGCCAGCCGAAGTGCGAAGAACGGAGAGGAAATGAGGTTGAAAATGAGGTTGGTATCGGTTTCTTCTAGTACGGATGGTGACAGCAGACCCATCACGCAGCTGTGACGGGGAAACAAAAGTGTCAGAATTCGGCGCAATATCGCAGGGCGTTCACAGAGGATGTACTCACATGACCCGCGTCACGATTCTTGATAGTCCAGATTCCAAAGTCGGGATTCTTTCCCCAACGGGCATGATCGTAAGACATCACCTGAGGCCCCGAGAATCTGTTTGGAGATCTCAGTAATCCGGTAAGATTTTACATACTATGCTGAAGATTTTCACTTACCTGTTGGGCACAATGGCCTGTTCACCAACACTGTCAAGTTGGACTGCTACCGAATCATCGTGAACGAGGTACTGATCTTGGTCATCTGCTTTGGTTCTCAATCGAAGTTGAGCAAATAGTTCACCACTCGAGGTGACGTCAATGTGATCAGACATATGCTCTACCGATTTGGCGCTGGAGAAGAGCTTAACGACATCTCCCAGCTCTGACACTTCACATCCGGCCATGGACTCCACGATGCTTTTCAAGTCGGCTCGCTGCAAAGAATTAGCCGACTGACCTCCAGGAACCAGCAGTTATTTCCGCGGTAAGGGGTGACACACTTCGATAACCCTCCAATTCTCGTGGTTAGTCACCGATTGACACCAGCGCTGAGGGCTGTGCGTGCATTAGCAACGTTACAGAATAGCGGGATGTCCAGATTGATGCACCTGGATGCTAGAATGGTGTTGCCGCCAATGGCTTCGAACACCACCTGCTCACTATCGTTCCTGCTACCATAGCTGTTGCTTTGATCTGTATCCTGTGATTCCTGACGAGTGTAGCCGCCCCCAGCATCTATGGGCTACAATTAAAAGGATGTTAGATTCGGCAATGAGTGTCGTTGCAAAGAGGTTAACTTGCCGAGGAAATTGCGAGGCCAATAGTTCGCTTGAAATCCTGCTTAGACTTTTCTTGCAAGGTCTGCTCGTTCGCTTCTCGAGTTTGTGTTGAAGTCAACATTCCGCCGATGGTTACCTCATGTGCGAAGAATTCACCTGCACATTGAGTCAGCCGTGGTCTCAGAAACAGGTCGTAAGCGAAGGACTCAGGGCACAAACCAAATGTCATCTGGAATTTACGGATGTTCACGAGAGTGTTGTCTTTCTCGACCTTTTTGAGCTCCTTCATCAGTTGAGGAGTCGGCTCAAGGTCGTCAGGGGTCAGAAATAGTGTGGCTCGGGGAAGCTATATCGATAAATCAGTATGTTGGCTGTCACTGCATCCACGCTTTCGGCAAAAGCGCAGAGTCACGTACCTTGTACTGTCCAACTAAAGTCTTGTTTGACTTCGTCTTCCCCTTCTCTTGTCCTTTCTGCATCTGCAGGAGAGTGTTTGCACTCATGCCAATGCTCACTTTGGAATAGCCGCCGTTCAATTTCGCATCAACTGACGATTTGGCGAAGCTATTTTGCACCATGGACTCTCTTACACCCTCTTCAACGTCGATAACATCGATTTTGCTACCGTCGTTGACGCAATAATTTGGGATGGCACCGCCGTCAGGTGTCTATTTGGCATCAGCATCTCGAGAGCCACCATAATAACGAGTAGAGATTGGCATCATTGCAAGAAAAAAAGACGAACTCTATAAATATCGATGCATATTGCATGAACAAGCTAAATATGATGGATGGAAACATACCTGGGAATTGTTGAGTCCCTTCCTCAAGATAAAAGCCGGTTTTGGGGCCATCTTGATCTGATGAGTCTGAGGATCGGTGTACCAGCCATGCATGACGTTGCAATTCTTCATTATTATGTTCCAATCCTTTACTTCGAGAGTCGATGGGGAACTAGTGTTGACTTAGATTCAGTTCAGACTAATCTTGACCGACATTCATTTTCGAGCGCAAAATGAGGACGAAGAAACCTTACATGATCTTCTCTGTCATTTCCATCTTGAGCATATCTTGAGTAATGGAGCTTGGCCTGGATTTTAAGTCAAGATACGAGCTAGAGGGTGAACCAAACATGGCCCCGGGATTCTAGGATGAAGTCAACATCATGCCCGCAAAGTTGAGGATCGATATTCACCTACATCGTTCTTTTGCATTTTGAACCAATTGGCAACTCTGCAAAATGCCCATTAGCAACAGGCTGGGGCGAGTTAGTGAAAAAGGCAGACTCGATGTTCTTCGAGGGGGCATACGATAACTCTTACAGTTGATGTAGTAAATAAGCATAACCAAGGAAAACCCAGCCTACGAGAAGACACTGTCAATGTTTTCGTTTACGTGGTGGTGGGATGGCTGAGCTGAAGAGCGCTTTCGGAATGAGACACATGGTCTCATCCGCTTTTGTATCTTCCGCCGTTGCGTGGGTGTTGGGCCTAGGCTTCGACAGCACGCCACAGGAGCAGTTAGTCTCACGGATGCAGGACTCTTCTGTCTTAGAAAGACACCATGTTCCACGTGGCTTGAAACATCGCCAAATCTAGAGTTTGCAATAAAATATATAATGTGACATGGAAAAGTGGAATGCCGAACTCGTTTCACTACGCGCATGCAGACAATCCGACCACAAATTTCGCAACGAATTTGCTTCGATCATGGCTGTTGGTTCCAAGTCACCCCTAGCATCCTTTCTCCAAAGAGAGGCAGAGAAATGGCGGGGCCACCAAGTGGTCGTGTGGAAATGTGACAAGGGAGAAATCGAATTCTCCTGCGACACTCTACACGCTCACTTCGACCAGGGAGGAATGAAGCCCCATAACATGTGGGGTAAGGGCAGTCACAACTATGGACTGTGTGTCATCCTACATGGTACTTTCCGTTACATCAACTCCTCGGTTAACAAAGACAAGTAAGTTATTCAGGAGAGTCTTGAGAACTTCGACAGTTTGGTAACAATTTGCCCACAGTCACAACCTTTGGGTTTTATCAAATTCAACACAACCAGATGCGTGCAAGTTTAATGAAGAGAAGGGTGTCTACTTCGCAGCACAGTAAGAGCCACCATTTCTTGTTTCTGCAACTCCTTGTAACTTGTTGACCATCCTATCGCAATAGGCCTCAACTGAATTCAACTTCGTGGATGAAGTATCTTAGCGATGAGTTACCACTCGACAAGGTGACACTCCCAGGAACTCGCTACAGCTGTGCTTCTGCCTCAAATATCGAAGATGCAGATGTGCATCTCGAACCCGAAGACGACAAACTCATTGGGAAAATCAAAGAGATGCATAAACACCACGACGATTCGATTTCCCAGCAGCTAAACAAGGGGATACGACTACTTGATATCTGCTGCGGAGTTGACAATTTCGTTTCACACGGGCCTTTGACCATCGCAAATACGTACGTGGAGGATGCCTTGGATGCTGTCAAAAGATTTGTAAAGAAGAACTATACGGAGACAGTCGTCGTATCGCTCAATTGGTCATCCTCCTGCGTCAAAGTTCTGGACTCTGCCAAACCTTGGCGGGGAGGGGGGTCCTCGACTCATGACGATACAATCCCACCCGGCTTCCGCGAGTACATTAAGGCAATCACCAAAGACGAAGTTTACTACACTGGAAACACCTGGCCGAAGCTTAGCACCGCTCGTGGCAAGGTGGTGATTGCCTGTGGATGGAAGACCGGTGACCACGACCATGGGGACCACTGGGGAGTGCATTATCAGCCACCGAAATGGCAGTTGGCTCGATTCCCTACGCCATACGGACTGGAAGAACTCATTGGCGAGAGGTGGGAGAAAATACAAAACGAGCTTCACACATCCCCGGGTAAGCAACAGGCCGTCGTTCTTGCAGCCTCACTTCAGCATGATCCAAATACGGAGACCGGATGGATTGAGCCACGCAAGACAGCCGCTGGTCTCCAAGCAAGGTTGAGGCAGCACATCGAAGAACAGAGAAAAAAGATATGCGGACTTTGGGTTCATGGCGACTTCATGGAGAAGGATACGATTATGGCGATAGCAAAACTCAACTGGGCAGGCTTCAAGAAGAATGAGCGGCGATTCCAGTTGGGCATATCTCCTTCTCAGGCCCAGCAGGCGCTTCGGAAGGCGATCTAGGTACGATGGCAAATCATCCAAGGACTCTAGCACAAGACTACATAGCTACGGCTCGAAATTTGAATCACAACTTTACAAGTAAACTTGATGGGGAACTTTCGCACGCTATACCGGGAGCTGCGCGGACACCAACCTCGGTCTCATGATATTCGTAGTCACACTTGGGGATCCTGAGCATGAATGAAAGTGGGAAATCTGTGGTACAGGCTGCCAATCCAGGCGACCCCTTCGTGAAACCATCATCAAGTCACATCCGAAAAGGGAAAGGGCCTGGGGTATTCATTCATTTCTTCCCGCCCGCCTGTCTCGGCTCTTGAGTTTATGAGTGAGACATAGCACGAGATCAACTTCGTGTGCGGAATTAGCTTCCCACGCTGCCGACATAAGACACGGCTTGCTGAAACAACAACACGCGAGGCGCATTGTGGCTACATGGGAAGCATCATGATGTTCTTGGCATTTCCGATTGAAGGATGCAGCAAAATGTCTTTTCTGGCCGCAGGAATTGCGGTAAATAGTTTGGCTCGAAGCCACAGGTTTCCCTCCCGCTTGCCACTGTAATCCGCAAACAGAACGCCACCATCCGTCCCGCCCCCGAAAACTCTCACGTCCAATGAATGACGGGCTTGATAACCTTCAAAGTGATCAGCTGGCTGAATCATGTATGGAATCTGATTGTACTTACTTGGCCGGTGTGCATATCATGAATTGCTTGGTTGAGCTCAGAGGCCGGGTACGTCTTGCATAACCTGTCAATGGGGAACTTCCCCTCTTGGTGCATTGAAATCAACTTTGGAATGAAGTCTGGGGGGTATGAGTCGCCTTCAATGACACCAATGAGTCGCTTGTTTGCCAACAAGAACGCCTGTGCGTCAATCTTGATGTCAGCTGCTGGCGGTGGCACGCCGACCAGTACTGCAGTACCAAGAGGCCTGACGCATGCAATCATGTCCTCAATGACCTTCAGAACGCCGGTGCAGTCGATCGCATACATGGGACCTCCGTCGGTAGCCTTCTGGATGTCACGAACGATATCTGAGCTCTCTTTCGAATTGAAGGTGTGAGTAGCTCCAAGCTCCTTGGCTAGCTCGAGACGGCCGGGTACGATGTCGATGGCAATGATCTGGCCCACCTCCAAGTACTTCGCCGCCATCAGAGCAGCGAGACCGACGCTTCCCAGGCCGAAGACGACAATGGAGTCCGTCTTCTTTGGCTTGATCATATTCAAGACAGTTCCGGCGCCGGTCTGGAGCCCGCATCCGAGCGGGGCGTAAACCTCCATGCTTGCCGCTGCCGATTCCGGGCAGCGGACGACTGATTGGCCGTTGACGACAGACATTTTGCAGAAAGACGAGTGCCCGAAGAACTGACTTCTCACTGAACGACCGTCGGCGAGCCTTCCGGGGGTACTCTTATCGCTACGGACGGATCCAATGTTGAGTTTCGAAGATTCTGGGCAAAGAGCCGTGTGGCCACTCGCGCAGGTGTCACATGCGTTGCAGCTTGTGAAGGACAGGAGGACATTATCGCCCAAAGCCAGATTCTTGATTTTGACGTCTTGGCCGATTCCGCGAACGATACCAGCGCCCTCGTGACCGAAGATGGCTGGGAACTCAATCATGGGCAAGCCTCCCTTCTGGGTCACGACGTCTGTGTGGCCTAGAGCATAGACTATGAGACCACTGACTGCTACCTTGCGATATGAGAGAGAATCTAAACTTACAGACGCCACTGTACTTCATCTCTACCAAAACCTCGTTGGGTCGGATCTCGTCGAGTATGACTGGAACCAGCTTGAAGTCTGCGTTGACCTCCTCCACGACATACCCGACTGTCTCAATGTTCTTTTGGTCGCTACCGTTGGAAGCATTGTTGGCCGTCTGCCCGGCAGCACGCTCGATATGTTCAACATGCTCGACATGCTCGGAGTTGGCGTCGGCCTTCAAGCCACCACGTGGTACTCCAACTTGCGTCGCGGGAATGGTTGCCATTTTGTCAAGTCAGGTACTGAGAAGTGAGGTAGGATGGTTCAGATGAGCCGACGAAGCAGATGTTGATATTTGGTCCTATTTAAACGATATGAAGTACGGAACAAAACTGCAGCAGCGGAATAGTAACGCCGACCGTCAGGCGGCCGCCTTATCGCCACGTCTGTCTTGGCCCATAGACCTGATACTGGTCCAAACGTCGGAACTCTCTCCAACCCCTCTGACGCGGTTTTCGGTCTCGGCAACCCCATGCCAGTGGATACCTGGGGTCCCGGTTTGCAGCTCGAGAGGCCGGGTAGACCCAGCACGAGAGTTTCCGGTTTTGCGGGGGATGCGGGGAAGGATAGTCAACGGCTAAGATCACGGCATGAGAGTTTGGAAGCATAAGGTGCAGAAGAAAACAATTGGACGAGATCCGTGCCACCGACTGTGGGAAAGCATTAACCGTCCGGTCTTTATGTGGGTTGGGACGACTTTCAGGTTGTTGCGAAGGGGGACAACTCGACGGAACAGGGGCTCGGAAGTTTGGAATCGGAATGCAGCGCCGCAGAGGTCGGAAATGGGGCGGAAACTTTTAAAACACTGTATATCTGACCAAATCAAACCGTCTTCTATCTCTTTGACTATTGTCATAAAGAACTAGCGAGAGCGAATGTCCTGCAGGTGACCGCATAGCCGCATCTTCCACCCGTACTGCCGAGACTGGGGTCCGGGTCTACCGGATAGCTAGGAGGACTTGGCCAATGCACATACCGCGGACGATGTAACGAATCGTTATCATCAGCAGGACTATTGGTCCTCAGCCATCGTAGGTAAGCCTCACTACCTCGGTGGAGATTTACAGTCATGTCAGGCGGATCAGCTGTACTTATGGACCCGAGCTAATAGACTAACTTAATATGATTGTTACAAGCAAATGAGGAGAATAATAGCACGAACAACGGACCGAGGTGCCGTTCGGGTAGTAAAGTGAGTTGGAGTCCTTCAGAATTCTGTATGACGCAAACCTGCAATCCTGCACTGCATCGTCGTAGCCCGGTATTTGTCATCGCATCTGAAGTATCATGACGCTCGGAATTATCAAAAGAGTAATAAGACCTTGTGTCGCAAAACTCCATGTAAAGCCTGAAACATCCATCAGTACCTGTAAACGATGAACCAAGGAGCCCATGGGTTACCTTACCTAGAGCTTCTACCCAATCATTGATGAACCAAGGGACGAGGAATGCCGAAACCTGCAAGACGTGTAAGGTACATATCTGTTTAATCCAAGGACGTGCCGGCGATGAAACAATACTACTGCCATCACAACAGCAACCTCCCAGATGCATGTCAAAGAATGTAGCGTGCTTACATTATAGAGAACTCCGTACAAGGATATTACTTCCAGAACACGGTCTGGATACGCCGTGATTGCGTACGTAACCACTGTTACGTTTCCCATCTGCAATCCTGCAGCAACTGCGCAGTAAGTCAGTGGGGATTTCCACAGCGGGAAGATGGGCATTGCCATTCTTACAGATAAATAAGGCGAGCTCGCCCACCATAAAATGCCAATGACGATCAATTGATAGTCCCCAGAAGATACATCCTCCCGTGCCGAGTAGAGCTGCAGGGTAAGCAAGCCATAGGTACATAGCAGGTGTTATGATGTCGTTGTTGCTTTTTGAAAGCCGTGAAGCGAGATTGTCGAGCATTCGACCAGAGCATACGATTTCTATGGTGATAGTGCCAGAGATGAGGCCAAGCCAAAGCAGGCCTTGAGTTTGAGTGCTGTATTGCGCATATGCCACGGGCCCCATTGTGAGAATAGACACGACCCTGAAAGAGCTCTGTCAGTAGAAGGTCACCAAGATGGGGACAAACTCTGTAGAAGTCCGTGTGTTGCAGTATTACTTACCACCAATACTGGAAGAATATGTAGGGGATGATGGCACACATGAGTCGAGGTTGTGTCAAAAGGTTCATGAATCGAATGGCTGTCATGCAAGCCCGCCTCTTAGATCCGACTTGAGGCTGCTGTACTTTCTGCAAAATCATAAGTATAATCAAGAGGCCGAGTTGCGAATAAGCTTACCCAGAATCTCAAACTTTTTGTTCTTTTGCTACCTTCCAATTCTCTGTCCGGTGTGACACCAGCAGATATCAAGTCCCGTGGATAGAATGTTTCTGGCAAGAGGAAAGCCTCCAGCAGTAGGAGAACGCCGTATGCAATTGCGACGTGGTACTGCACCCACAAAATCCCAGCACCAGCAACAAACCCTCCCACTATTTCCAGGGTCAGATCTACTCTTCCGTCAGACTCCATTCAAAACTCACGAAAGGCACCAATCATCCCTCCTATATCGATCGACAAGATCCAAAGACCAGTCTTAAACCCTCTCTCGTGTTCGTACGTGATGTCTTGAACAATAGCAAATCCTACGTTAAGCGCTGGTCCAGCGCCAATTCCTTGAAGAAGGCGGAGCACCAGATATGCCCCATAGGGCAAATTGGCAGTCGTTGTGCAGCCGGTGGCTACCAGAGCGATTAGAGTAGTGCCCAGCAGAGCAGTGCGACGACCCCAGATATCCGATAACCCTGCAAAGAGCAAGATCCCGATGGCAAGACCCAGAGCAGGGACGCCTAAGGACCAATTAACCTTGGTATAACTGATGTTGAAATGCTCTTGGAGCAGTGGAAGTGATGCCACCGGTGCGGTTGTCAGGTAAATGGACAAGAAGCCGGCGTAACAAACAATGAATAAGATAAGTGCCTTTTCGGATTTTGACCAGTTCAGGGGATCTAACGGGTCCGAATTCGGTTGCGGGACCGGAGGTAGGCCGCGTGGGTCAAGCAAGACTGCTCGTCCAGATGCCGGGACGGCCGGCGTGGGAACATGACCATCCACACTCTCCCTCTGAAGGGCTTCACTCACCTGACTATCGTCCTTCATAGCCTTGCTGGGGCCGTCGCGTGTTGTCTTGGGGTCTTGAAGTTTCGACATCGTAGAGTATGCTCAGATAGTATGGAGACCGATGTCATTGAGAAAGAATTCATGGGTGATATTTGAATCATGTCAGGAGACTTGCGAAAGCCATCCTGACCTTCTCCCACCCTCTAGTCTCTAGCCATCCCGCGTATGTTGCCATCATAAATGATGCATGCCCTCGATAAGCTGTCAACATTCTACGTAAACAGTGCCGGCAAATGACATCCGCATATCTCTCCTCGCGATAAAGAGATATGCTATCTCTGAAGGACGCTCGCAAATGGTTCGCCTGTTTCGTCCCACACGCTTGATGTCGGACGTTTGTGACAACAAGTTGTGGCCGGTGGCCAGCGGCTTATGCTGATCCGCATGAGCGGAAAATTGGCTTTTTTGAGGATTTTATCCATGGACTAGGTGCACAACATTAGTGGAAAGCAGCATGCGCATCCCATGTTAATGGATGCGTACATGACCGGATAGACGACGGGCTGGTGCATCACGACTGAATTGGATTCTTCCTAAATAGGCAAGTTTTCCGCCCCTCCCCGGTCCATGACAAGGGGCGAGATGAACACAGCGCCATGTGCTCAGAGAACTATTCGAACAAGCAGCGGCGGATGATTTTCGAGTCTTTGAGCCTAGTGTCTTTCGTGTGCCAGCAGCTGATTCAAATTTGAGTAGTTCAAGCTCCCAGTTCAGATCAAGACAGTGCAACGAAAATATTTTACAATAAACGTTCAACTATGAGGAACAAACAATACCAAGGTCAGCGTGTTTTCAGAATCCATGAAACTCCTGCTGACTTGACATATGGGTTTTACAGAGCCAGGAGCGATGCCCCCAGATCAACACGCAAACGACCCTACTGAGCGAACAACACTCCTACGACCAAGATCATCAACATCTTCGTCGAACCCAACCGGCAGGTGTGAACATGGCCTACTACAAGAAAGCAAGATTGGGTTCAAAGAGGCCGTTCTTTTGCTTAAGTTGTCGTTACCGGTAATTGCAGCATACCTCTTGCAAAACTCGTTCCAAACCGTTTCAATGATGCTCGTTGGGCGACTCTATCCCGAGAGTCTATCAGTCGCCGCCTTCTCATACATGTTCAGTACATGCACTGGATGGCTCGTCGGAATGGGTGGTTCGACTGCTCTCGATACCCTTGCTTCGACCGCTTTCACTGGCCGCGACAAGCACTATACAGGCATCCTCTTACAAAGAGCCACGATTGTTCTCACATTGTTCTTCATTCCGGTAGCACTTATCTGGGTGTATGTCGAGCCTCTATTTGTCGCTCTTGGTCAAGATAAATCACTTTCGCAAGATTCGGCTAGGTTCCTGACGCATCTGATTCCTGGTGGTCTTGGATACATCTACTTCGAAATACTCAAGAAGTACTTGCAAGCCCAAGGAATCGTGCAGCCAACAACCTACGTCCTCCTGGTTACCGCTCCCATTAGCGCTGGTCTGAACTACTGGTTTATCAAGTTTTCAGGCTTTGGTGTGATGGGAGCTCCTTTGGCAACTGGCGTTGGGTATTGGCTGTCTTTCTTTGGCCTTCTCGCTTACGCATGCTTCGTCGAGGGATTCGAGTGCTGGAACGGTTGGGATAGGCGTTGTCTTGAGAATCTGCCAGCCTTTGCCCTCCTTGCTTTCCTCGGATTTGTCCATTTGGGCACGGAGTTCTGGGCATTCGAGATTGTTGCTCTCGTTGCCGGGCGCCTTGGCCCGCTGCCGCTGGCTTCCCAAAGCGTTCTCATGACCGCAGATCAAGTACTCGTTACCATACCGTTTGGCATTGGCGTGGCGACAAGTATGAGAGTTGGTGGGCTGCTTGGCCTCAGAGACAAAACCGCTGCCATCAGATCCGTCAAAGTCGCGATATTCTTGACTCTATCGGTGGCTACTTCCGTCATGATTTTGTTGATTGTCAGCAGATCTCGATTTGCTGCTATCTTCACACCTGATGAGACAGTGATATCATACACAGCAAGGGTACTGCCATGGGTGGCTTTGTTTCAAATATTCGATGGGCTCAACGGGAGCTGTGGAGGGTCACTTCGTGGGATGGGAAAACAGAACGTTGGCGCCAGTATCAACGCTCTCGCATACTACGTTGTCGCGCTGCCGCTTGGTACTTGGATGGCCTTTTCAGGATGGGAACTTTCGGGACTCTGGATAGGACAGACTATAGGCATGATTCTAGTCGCAGGCTTGGAGCTTGCTGCGATTCATTCTAGCAACTGGGATGATGAGATCAAGAAAGCATTCCAGAGGATAGGTGCCTAGTTAGTCATATTCCATCACGAAAATTGCACGTAACTTTGTCAGGAACTATTGCTCGGGTTGAATACTGACTGAATGTATGTAACTAAGATCCTGTTTGGGTCGAATTACCTCTTTTGCTATATGACGGCGTTATGTATGGTCTTTGAGACGCTAGAGACAACTCTGTTCTGCAGCTTTCGGCAGATATGGGCCTCTGTCCTATGACACTCATTGTGTTGATTGCCCTGGTGTGCCCTCGAAATGATGAACACCAGACCACGAGCCCACAGGCGTTTGTGACAGGCTACAGCACCCTCGGCTTCTCATGTTATTTGGGCACATGCATTACCCAGTCGAAATCATGGTCGGTAGCTCTCCGATACCCGGGTTCTTCTGGTGGGGCTTGCGGATAACTTTCCTGTCGTGGTTAGTTCCCACCTATTCCTACGATGAAAACATCAGCCATAAGACACAACTTCCATGAATTTCGAAGCCAGCGAAAGAAATTTCCATCCTCTTCAAGGTATTTTCATCTACTCAGAAAAGCAATGTTTAGAACGTTTTACTATTGCTCCTTGGTGGCTGCATCACTCGTCCATGCGGTGCAAAGACCGCTACAGGGCAATGACGACGCCGTGATACCCCAAAACTACGAATACGTACGGTTTTCTAACAAGAGCGGAACTCAGTAACATTGCTGACTTACTGAAGGACAACTCTGCCTTTGCGGGTATCACAACCTATGGGCTGTTGCCTCACTTCCCTTGCCTTAAGGATGAGTCTGTTGCTTTCGACATTGCCACTGTCGGTACGTATTTCAATAAATGACCCCTTCCATTTTATAATTGGATGTATGGTTGACTTCCGTGTTAGGAATCCCTTTCGATAGCGGTGTTACCTATCGACCAGGAGCTCGATTTGGCCCTTCGGCAATTAGACAAGCCTCTCGGCACCTGACTTTGGCGTTAGTAACTCGCGTTCCTAGAGATAGTCAATTGATCGAGCTAACAGGTCACTAGAGGAGGCTACAATGTGTAGGTTCCGCCAATATCTGCCTATTCATCTCCCTGACTCCGTAAACAGAGCTCAGCGCGTGAATCCTCTCAAATTCTGGGGACGGGCCCTCGATTGCGGCGATATTCAAGCTTCACCGTAAGGAGTAATAACACACCAAAATGATTTTTGTATTGAGTCTGACATCAAACCAGCCATGACAAAGAAATTGCAATGGAAGATATTGAAAAGGGGTACACGAGCCTCCTCCAACGCCCGGCCTACACGAGATCGACAGCTGCTGGACCGAAACCTCTTAAAACGATCCCTCGACTTCTTACACTGGGCGGTGATCATACAATTCTTCTGCCTATTCTGCGAAGCATTCACAAAGTTTACGGACCCGTCAGCGTCATTCACTTCGATTCCCATCTGGACTCGTGGAACCCAACGGCAGGGGCGCCTTCAGATGCTGCACAGATCACACATGGCAGTTTTTTCTACTGGGCAAACCAGGAGGGGCTGATTTCCAATTCGAGCAATATGCATGCTGGCCTTCGTACGACTCTGTCAGGACTTGGAGACTATGATGAGGACGAGCTGTGTGGTTTTGCGCGTATTGAGGCTCGCGAGATTGACGATATCGGCACACGCGGTATCATCAAGAAGATCACCGAGCGTGTCGGTACGAACAGGCCGGTTTATTTGTCCATTGATATTGACACACTCGACCCTGCCTTTGCTCCAGCGACGGGCACTCCCGAGACTGGAGGTTGGTCGACTCGGGAGCTTCGCGCAATCATTCGAGGGCTCTCTGACATCAACATCATTGGTGCGGATGTCGTTGAAGTGTCTCCAGTGTATGACACAAATGCTGAGGTCACATCGCTTGCGGCCGCAGATTTGGTCTATGAGATCATGAGCATCTTTGTGAGGAAAGGTCCGATGACAATGGCTGATGAGTAAAGATCTCTTCAAAAGCTATTCGGAGATCAACTCTTGCTGTTTGATTACACTATTGTCATTCTGTCTGGACTGTGCAACGCTAGAATAAGAGTGTTCGAACCAGGAGCAAGATGCAGATGCCCGTAAGATTAACAATATGTTCCGATAGATGTAACGTGTTACTTGTGAATGGTGTACTCTATTTATGTGAAAATTGGTCGGAATGGACCATTACTGACAGCTTGTTCAACGACCTCATAAGCTTCACTTCCACAGTGACACGTTTAAGAAGTGGAGAGCAACCTCCTTTTCTGTTGAATTGCCCAGTGCGAAGCATTTGAAAGTGACATAAAAGTATAATGATTTTATAGGCTTCCTCTCTCTGTCCATTTATCCTAGAATAAGGAATCGATGCAAAAGTCCGGTTCCACTGTTGCATTGTCGTTAGTATCTAGACTCAACCACGGCTCGGTTCACTCACATTTGTAGAACCAGTCGGGCCACCTGCTTCCTGGGTCAAGGTCTCGTACTTGCCACACATGCTCCAACGAGAGGCATACATCCTTTCGATTGTACGCAAGACCCCTTGGTGTACGTAGCCGTTCAAGAATTCTTCTCCTCCCTTCACCTTCGACTGCTTCGCAGCCAGCAATGAAAAGTGGAAACAAAACGGCATGAGAAACACGAGATGTGACAGGAATCTTGCCAATTTCGGACACGATAACCTGCACCTTCTTGCGTACCAGAGGAGCTGTAAATGGCATGCCCTTAAGGCGCGCATAGAAGAGTAGGAATGCTGCTGCGTGCATGGCCTCGTTCAGAGACCGCAGTTCCTTGGGGTCCGTAGTGCCTGTTTTGGAAAGATCCAGATCAGCTTCTCTAGCGGTAAGAAGTTCTTCTTCTAGCTTTATCATTTCCATTCCCATTGATGCATCCGATATGTAATGATTAACGGTCGAGCGAGACTTCTGAATGTCGAGAAGCCTAGCCAGGCGAAGAAGGGGGTTGACGAGACGAGAAGAAAATGCGTAGATCGGGTGATTTGTCCAGTCGCGGAAGGAAGGTAGATAGTTGTGCTCAACCTCTTCTCTTCTCATCTCCAAGCCACGGTAGATCTTATCGCTCACCGGTTCTCGAGAACTCTGAAATGAGCATACGGTGGATATAATACTCCATCGCAACATGGAGAGTATCAGCTGGATGAACGGTGCGAGGAGGTCTGAGGAGGATTGTGGACGTGTAGAAAAGCCGATAGCAAGTGTGCCTGCGTAATGCAAATATTCTTCGGAGTCATCCTGGCTAAAATGGTGTAGGAATATACCGCATGCAACGATTGAGAACAGAGACCAGCTTTGTGCACCAAGTGATGGCGTTTCGGATTTCAGGGCAACAGAAGCTCTTTTTGAGCAATCCCTAACGAGTTGGTGGAATTCGTTGCCGCTCCTACTGGTGTTGTACTGAAACGCAGCAAAACAGAAGATCGCGGACCGTAAACTTTCGTTCGAAATCGCCATTTGTGGGATAGTGGCTATGAACGGGTCTTGAGATCCTTGGAACCTACATAGGTTTTGTTCGTCGAGGCACAGAAATCCATCTTTCGTGATGTGCAGGAAATACTGCCAGAGGAAACGCCTCTCAGGCGATGAGAGCATATCCGGGGGCCAAGGCATCGGACAGTGAGTCATTGATAATGACATTTGGGAGGATTCCTGGTAGTTCCCAGCTATTGTGTTATAAGAAACCAAGCTTGAATTTGTTTCAAGATCATTTAGGATGGAGTCGAGGGCTTGGTCGAAGGTTGGGGAGTCCAAGAGCTGTGTCTCCAGTTGTATATCGTCGAAGACGGAAACTAATGCGTCGTTCGAAGCCAGCTCTGTATTTGATTCCGCACTCGAAACAGCATTCTCGCCTGTGAAAAATGTCTCAAAGTGAGGATCGCCCGCATTGACGTCTTGACTGGCGGGAAAACTGTGTCTCAGAATCCCAAAGTCGCTTGTGTGGGGGTTGGGGGGCCAGAGATCACTGGCTAGATCACCAGTTGAAGTTTCATCGTGACCAGCCACTGGAAGGGCCCTAGATGAAGGGCGGGCCGTTGAGCCAGGATTTGGCCTTGGGCTCTCAAATCTTCTGTCGCTAGCAGTATGTGTTCGTTTGCTTGGCCCTTGATCCTCGGACTCTCCGGGGGTCCATATCTTGAAGACTTCCAGGTCACAAGCCAGGTGAGATTTCAAGCACTGTGAACATTTGGGGCGCTTTTTATCGCACTACACACCCGTAACATTAGCTCCTTGTTTTGGTGTACATGGTGATAGTGTCATGAACCAATGATCCGTCGGTCCACGGAGCATTCCGTCGAGAGAGACGTACCCTTCGCTTCTTCCGAACGCACTCCGCACATGCCCCTCTGGTCCGTTTGCTATGCCTGGTAGGCATACTTGACAAACAGAATGTGACTGATGACGAATCTTTGCACTTTCAGGCGTGGTCCGTGGAAAGATTGTTGAAGAAAAGATTGCGGCTCGGTTGGCACATGTTGGGGCTACAATCAGGAGAAAGAAGTTTATCTCGGCCCGGAAGGCCACGGAGGCCGTGCGGAGCCAAGGTCCCTAGATAAGCTTAGGTAACACGCACCGGTCCGAATGCCGCATCTCCTTAGGTCCAGGATCTGGGACTCTCGCAACTTTACTATTTCTAGAAATCAAATGATGGATTCCGTACTACATGTGTCGAACTTTGATAAACTTTGCAAGTTATGGTCAAAAGACGTCGGGGGGGCCAAATTTAGAATTTGGTGTCCACACATTATTCGAGCCATAAAAGGATATAATTAATTTCTGTCTCAAAATAACCCATCGAAATTTAAAAAGCACCCTTAGTCTCTTCGGAACCTTCGATATACTCATAATGCGGTAACTCCTCCAAAGCCTCTCTCAAAACCTGGAACCCTTGGAAGAGATCAGCGTCAGGGATGGTCAAAGCAACACCCAGACGAATGCGACCATTGGGACCGGGGAAGACGAGGAGACCTTTGCTGGCGCACAGCAATGAAAACCGCCGAGGAGTGATTTTCTCAGGTCGAGTTTCGTACTCGGTGTCAAGTAAGATATTTAAGTCGGCACCGAAAGCCGGACAATACCGCAGCCAGGGGAATTTCCATGTTGATGTCTCCGAGACCCATTTGGCGTGAATATCTCGGGCCCGCTGTTCTAGATTTTCCTCTTCGTAAATCTGCAGTGCGGTGGTCACAGCTGTTACAGCCATTGAAGACATTGAAAATGTGCTGACCGATTGGTATGGCTTCATTTTGTCCATGACTTCATCTGGGCCGAATACAAATGAGGTTGGCCACACGCCTCCAGAGATGGACTTTCCCATGGTCACCATGTCCGGTTTGTGCTCGGGTCCCATCCAGTCACAACTTAAGAACTTGCCGGTCTTGCAGGAACCCATACGAACTTCGTCTGCGATGAAGAGGATGTTGTACTGCTTACACAGCTTTCGAACGCCAATGCAAAATTCAATCTCTTCCTCCATAGACCTTGGTACTGTGAGTCAAACTGGTCGAACGTGTGTTAAGTATAGGTGTGGAAGATGACTCACCTGGCAAGTCCATGAAGTGGCTCCATGATGACTGCAGCGATGCGTTCATGCATCTGCTCAAATATCTCTGCATAGTCTTCAACATGAAGGTAGCGAAGAACCTTGCCTGTTTGGGGATTGATATTCGTCATGTTCTTGCTAAATGTCGCGAATTCTGATCTGCACATTATTATAATTATACGGTGAAGCGCTGATATGATGTAATGGCCTACCTCCCCAACCAGCCTCCGGCTCCATGAGAGGCCACACACCGGAAAGTGTACCGTGGTAGTTGTCTGAAGTTCCGAGTACAAGGACCTTTTCCGGGTCGATCTGCTTGATGTCGACTCCCCATCCGCGCGCCAACTTGCAAGCGGTATCTGTAGCTTCGGAGCCAGATGTCATGGCCAACACCTTTTGATAGCCAAACTTATCACACAAGCGTTTGGCTAGATGGGGCCATCCCTCCGCTTGGCCGGCAATGTTGGCGAGTGTGACTAAGTGCAAGTCAGCACAAGATTATCAGAAACGTAGCTAAAGTATGGTGTTCACTTTTCTTAGCTGAGTTTACTTGCGCTTCCAAAAGCCTTGGGTGGCATTGCCCAAGGTTGCTGGCACTAAATCCACAGATGAAGTCAATTAGCTCCCGCCCATCAGAATCCTTGAGCTGAAGTCAGTGTCAAGGGCAAGGGCCATTGGGTCTGGGGAAAATCTTACACGAAGTCGAGAACCTTGTCCAGAGACTAGGTACACTGGCAAGGAGTTGATCCCTCCAACGCTGTAGCGCTTGTTAACCTCGTCTAGTGCACGGCCAGATGCCGGCAGTGAGAGAGAGAGTTTCGTTGTTGCCACGCTGTTCGACATGATTGACACACTTAATTATCTACTGAATTCGCCGGAAAGAAACAAACTGAGGTGATGGATAAATGTTGTGTTGAAAACGAGCTCAAGTTATCTGCACGCAATAATGTCCCTTTTCAAACTGGCCTCATTCCATCAAGAGGGCCTCAGGTGCGAACATCGCAATATCCTAATCGGGAAAGTTTACCACCAGCATCACGTTAACCGTAGCCCAGAGGCCCCTTACTGCGAAATATTGCACGCAAATGGTGTAACATGATATTATCTCAGTCGACGGCCAAGAGTCTGATGGACTTGATTCACGATTGCAGATTGCTTCGGAGAAGCGCGGACGTTTGCCGCCTTGAGAATGCCGTTATCTCGGAAAGGGGGCTTGCGAGCGCCCGGAAGTCCACAGCAGCCACCGTATTTTCAGAGCAGTTTTCTGCATCACAGTCCTGCCCTCAACACCGCATGACTTTATTGGCACAAGCTGGGAATCTCAAAAAGAGCTAATACCATAATCGCCTCATTTGCGGAAAAGTTGCCTCTTTTCAAATCGCAGCCACTGTCACGCGGTCACAGCACGAGGATGCATCAAT